TGATGCCACTTCACTCTATCCAGCAAGAAAGAGTGAGATTGTTTCAAAAAGGGGGGAGGGGATACCCTGAATCTGATATAAAAAATTTAAAAATATTTCTTCCAAAATAGTTAATAAACAGTACTTAGAGCCTAATAAGCTGAGTGGTTTTATCAGCACTGACACACTCGGGCCTTTAGGTCTTCTGAATGCCTGTGGGGCTCCAAATATTTCAACACGTTGACTACGATGAGACTACAAAACAGAAGTCTTCTACCCCGATTCCAGAATTATTTCAGGCTCTCTAGGGAATTCTTTTTTCTCCAATTGATAACTAAAAATAATCTGGTAGGGTCACCTATAGTAATACTACTATTTTAAGCAAAAAGATATGAAAGATAAGTAAGAATGGATGGAAAGGAATCTTTTTTTAGTCTGTGACCTTAAGCAAGGCCAGTCACTCCCTGTGGTTAAACAATGACAACTTAATACATTTTCACCAACTTCACAAATAAATACTTTTCACAAAGAGCATGCTTGCTCATACACATGGGGCAGCAGTGTCTGGTGGAATGGCCACTAGCCACATAGGGCCACTGAGCACCAGAAATATGGCCAATCCAATCTGTGATGTGCTGTCAGAGTAAATACACACTGAATTTTGAAGATTCAAAATTGAAAAGAAGAATGTAAACTATCTCATTAATATTTTTTGTATTGTGTACATGTTGAAGTAATAATATTTTGGCTATTTGGGGTTAAACAGGGTGGAGCGTGGTGGCTCATGCCTATTATCCCAGCACTTTGGGAGGCCAAGGCTGGAGAATCGCTTGAGGCCAGGAGTTCAAGACCAGTCTGGGCAATATACTCAGACCTCGTCTCTACAAAAAACTTAGCCAGGTATGGTGGCGCACATGTAGTCCCTGCTACTCAGAAAACTGAGGCAGGCAGATCCCTTGAACCCAGGAGTTCCAGGCTGCACTGAGCTATGATCATGCCATTGCACTCCAGCCTGGGTGAAAAAGTGAGTCACTGTCTCTAAATGTAGGTATGTATGTATATATATGTGTGTGTGTGTGTGTGTGTGTGTGTGTGTGTGTATGTGTGTGTACAATTTTACTTGCTTCTATTTATTTTTATAAATGTGGCTACCAGTACTTTTAAAATTGCGTTTGTTGCTTACATTCTATTTCCACTGCACAGTGCTGGGTGAGGGTGTTTCAGCTTAGTTTACAACTTAGCTACACTGGGGTGACCTTCCATACATTGCTCACTGTTTCTCTGCCTTGGTTTCTTCATTTGTAAGATGTCAAGAGCTTGGACTAGATGCCTTTTATAATCCTCTAGGGCTTGAACATTCTAGGACTTGAGGGTTCAATGGTTATTGCTGGTGTAGAAAAGATACAGGATCAGGTGCTGTAAGTGGCATGACAGTGCTGTAACTAGCATGCAGGCCTGTCCTCACTAGAGCTGGGCCCAGGGCAGGGTGCCTAAGAAAAGCGTGGGGCCCCCTGCAAGCCACCCAGCAGCTCGGGTGTCCCAGAGCCGGAGATAGCACAGTTTACACATGCCAGCCCTGCAGCTGACGAAGGGTATTTGAGGAAAGCCCTGCTCTGGTATGGGCTGGCTCCCAGGCTCAGCACACGTGCCTCCTGCTAACAGACGACCCGCTCCACAGCTCTGGAGCACAGCTGATGGATGGCATGTGGTGTCACTTAAGCCCTGGGTTCATGGGACAGAAACACAAATCAGCTGCCAAAAGGTTCCAGAATACTGACCTTACCAGTGTGCCATCCATTGGCACAGGAACCCGAGAAGGGAGGGGTGAGGGACTGGGGAACCACCTTGTCAACTTTATTCACAACTGCTAAAACGTGGAAGCCACCAAGATGTCCTTCAGTATGGGAGTGGCTAAACAAACAGTGGTACATCCAGACAAAGGAATACTATTCAGCATTAAAGAAAAATGAGCTATCAAGCCATGAGAAGACATGAAGGAACCTTAAATGCATATTATACCACTAAGTGAAAGAAGCTGTCTGATTCCAACTGTATGACATTCTGGAAAAGGCAAAACCATGGGGACAGTAAAAAGATCAGTGGTTGCTGTGGGTTATGGGAGATGAACAGGCAGAGACGGGGGGGTTAGGGCAATGAAACCTCTCTGTGTGATATTACAATGGTGGATTTACCCAAGCCCCTAGAATGTACAACACCAAGAGCGAACCCTACTGTAAACTATGGACTTTGGGTGATAATGATGTGTCAGTGTAGGTCCATCAGTCGTGACAAATGTACCTTGGTGGTGGATGATGTTTGTAATGGGGGAGGCTATGCACCTGAGGGGGAGGGAGGGCAGGGGACATATGGGATAGTTTTATACCTTCCTCTCAATTTTGCTGTGAACATAAAACTGCTTTAAAACACAAAGTCAATTAGAAAAAAACCTTGTTATTCATGTCTTAATTGCAAGATCTAATCCAAATTTTAGCAACCACAGATTTTGTGGTTTATCAGACTCCTAAAAGCAGCATTAAAAAAGAAAAAGAAGAAGCATATGACTATCCATTTCATCAATAGTATTATTCTGTATTTTTTCCCCTGGAACCAGTTAGTGGCATCTTCTGAATCACTTGGACAATAAGACAGAGTTTCCTCGCTCCACCCGCTAAGCCCTCCAAGGCTCAGCACCTGGGGGTCCTCACAGTCTGTCCCAGCCACCTCTCTAGGCTCACTTCCCACCATTCACCGGCAACATGCAGCAGACACCCACGATGCCTCTCGGGTGTCAGGCAGCCAGGCTGCAACAGCAAGTAAGAAGTTCTTGTGCTTAAGCTGCTTTCTGGGTGTTGGGAGCTGGTACAGAGGAAGCCATAAGAAAACACCTGTGATTCCATGAAAATTCAGTAATAAATACAGGGTGCTTGCCTTAGGAGCATCGAACTCAGGCTTGGAGGATCCAGGAAGGCTTTCTGGAGAAAGTGAAATCTAACTTGGCCAAGAACTAAGAAATGGGAGAGAAGGAAGAGAGAGCCCATGCAGGAAGAGTGATGTGTACACAAGTTTGGAAGTGAAAATGAACAAGGTGCATTCTCAGAAGGCAGAATCTTAGCAGGTGAAGGGGCCAGTGGCAAGAGATGAAGCAGGAGAGGTAAGCAGGGCGCCACCACGGAGGGCCTTGACCGCCCTGGGAAGGAGCTGCCGGTGGCCTAAATCTAAGGCAGTGCGCGTGAGCATGGCGCACCCAGCCCCATCCTACCTAGACTCCAGCCGATTCAATAGCTTCCTCCTCCCCAAGCACATCATGGACTTCCACAGGCCGTCTTGCCTTTGCACAGGCTGTCCCTTTTCCTTGAATGTGTCCCCTGACCCTGCCTTCTTTTTTCCTCCTAGGAAATCCCACATGGGCTTATTTAAGGGGTTCCCAAAGGTCTTTTCTCTTAAAATCCTTTCCCGACCCTAAGACTGCAGCAGTCGTTTCCTACCTCGTGCACACACTTCTTGTAATAGAAACGTTGGTGGTGGGGAGGGATGTGGGGAGTGTCTGCCCAAATTATTTTTATTTTTTTTTCCATTTAAAAAGTTTGAGGAGTCTGCCCAAATTAGTATGTCTTCTTTCAGGATTGCCCCCTTTAGTGGCAGCCCTGCAGCCGTGTCTGGGCAGTGTCACTGTGTGCCTTGGGTACAGCTGAGGAGTCAGGGGAGGACACACATCTTGCTGCTCACTTAGAACCTGAGGCTGAGAGGGGCTAGTAGGTCTCTGTCTAGGTGCGTCAGCTGGGAGGACATTTAAACTTGGGCCACCTCTGCTATTATATGGAAATGCAGAGAAAGCTGAGTGGGAAAACAAACTGCTGCGACGGTCCTTGACAAGGATCCAGTATCTTGTTCTAGTTGCTCATGGTCTGTCACCAAATATCCTGACACTTGGTGATCTGACAGACCCCTGCATCTTTCTAACCAACCCCAAATTTTGGTATGAGCTAACTGGAATGGGTTTCAGACAGTGCTACCAAAAAAGCCCCCCAAAATTCACTTTTCATAGTTCTAACGCCTTCTACAGCAAGCACGCATTTCTATACCATGTGACGTGGGTGCTGTCACTCCCTCAGCCAGTTCCCACTGCAGACAGGACTAGGTGGTCACAGCACTCTCTACCTGGGCCTCACATGCCAATACTGCAGTGCCAGGCGGCCCCAAAGCAGCGGCCACACAAGACAAAACTTATTGGTCATCGATGTTCTAGACTGGAAGCTACTGGAAGACAGGTACTGTGTCTTTTCCATCATTTTAATCCCACTGAGCCCTTGCTTGACACAAGGGCAGTATAGAATAAATATTAACACTTGCTTGCAGAATAAATTATGACTATTACGTTTTAGTCTCTTCATTCACCCTTGTTAGCTCATTGGAAACCTAGAACGGATTCAGTCTTTCCCAATTTAGAAACAAGGCAAGTAATTAACCTAGTAGTGAAAGACTGAAATAGAACAGCCATGTCAGCCTCAGGCACACACTTGTAACCGATCTGTGTCCATCTATAACTTGTTCTTCTTTTCTATCCCTGGGGATGTGGTCACATTTTAAAGTTACATCCACTGGGGACAATGGCTTCTAAAATCTTTACAGAATCAGAGCACTCTGTTCTTTCTGTCTTCTGATTTAATTATACGCCTCCCTGAAGTGTGGCCTACTAACTTATTTGTAGATTACTTTGTCAGTTTAGCCATCATTTTTCATAAATTTATATGCAATCTGAAAAAAATATCTAACTACAGTGTGATAAGCTGTACACTTCAGGAACTAATGTTAGGAGCTGTAAACTACAGGAAGTCTGTAAATTTCAGGAACTGTGTCTGTCACGGCTGTTCCTCTCCCCACTTAATGTCTTTATCATACACTGCCCTCAAACAAATCGGACTCCTCCTTGTCCAACCGTGGCAAGAAGTCTTTCCGAATACCTTCACAGGCTATGATCAGTCAACCAACGAAAAAGAGCATCTTAAAAATCGGTAACATACCAACTCCATTAACTGTTTGAGCTGACCTATCTCTTCTGGTAATGATCCAAGTTTGTTGTTACTTGCGATTAAGACTTTGAGAGGCAGACCACACAGGCAGGCGGGCAGGGCGGACAGCTGATTTCGACTGCAAAGACAATACAACAAGAACACATGTAAACAGAAAGGCCACTTCGTACTGTCTGTGAACACGTTTTTAACAAGAAAGGAAAAACGGAGTGATCGGAGAAGACATTTTACAAATACAAAAAAATCCGATACATTTTCTGTGTGTGTGGTAACTCAAATTACAAGTGTGTAAGAAATCAAAAATATATTTTAATTTAAAAAAAGGCATAGGCAGTCCTGAGGGGCACGACTTTCCCTGATAGTAGAAATGCCACCAACCTCCCTGCAGAGGCTGAGGGACAGCATATCCTGCACAACCAACAGCTACGGGAAGCTGGTGACAACTGTCCCTTCCTGACAATGCCTGCAGAACACCCAGCTAGGACCAGAGCAACCAGAACCACGAAGGTGTCCTTTTGTTCATGTTAGCAGTGATGGAGAAGATGATTTTGCTGCAATTCAAAAATGACTGGGCTGATTTCCAACATTTTGACTCAGCTTCCTTTCATTAAAAAAAGAGTTGCTACAGTTAAAGTCTGCTTTGGTATCTGCAAGAGAGCCAGCTAAAAGATAAAAAGGTAAAGCTGGTCTTTTGGCAAAGCACAACGGTAGCCCAGAAGGGGTTTAGTTGCACAGAGCAGCCAAAAGAGTCTGAGTTTCACCTCTGTTCTGCATGAAGAGCAGAAGTCTCTCAACTGTCTATCATCAGCGCCTAGTTTTCTGAAAGACACAAAAATATTAGATAAATGAAATCTATGAATCATGCATCTTTATATGTCAGTCATCTATTTCAGCCTCCTCCCCCACAAAAAGCCCTTTTTTCTGCCACCAAGTAAAGAGACAGATGGTTTTCAGTTTCCCTGACTTTCATTCTCTGCCATTCTGGTGATGAAGCCAATGACCACATAGTGAAACATCTAAAAATCCGTGTGCCATTTATTTCAACCATTTGAAATTTCTGTGTGTTTGTGAACACATGCATTAATTTTCAGAAGTCGTCTTCCTGTATGAGTGTATTTAGAGGCACACGATTAACTGTATCTGTGTATGCAAGGGGGAGAGACGGACAGATTGGAAACACTGCGAAATATTATCAGCGGTTGTTTTGGGATATAGGTACAATGAGTGGTTTTTTTTTTTTTTTTTTTTTAAACACTTTGCTGTATTTTCCAAAATTCCTAAAAGTGCTTTTATAATCAGGAAAGAAATATCATTATAAAATGATAAACTTGATCTGGTTGCTTGTTACAGGGGTGCTGCTCTATTTGTGAAAATGTATTGAGCCATATACTTATGATCTGTGTATTTTTCTGTATATACATTTCAATTAAAAGTTTTACTTTCCCTCACACTCTCCCCCCAGATGAGGGGGCAGGGATCTGGTTAACCAAAGGGCATCGCTAACTGATGGGCTCAGAAAAGGCAGGTGCTGTGCTGTGGAGAGAACCTTTCTCTTCTGGGCACTCCCCCTGGCGACCCCCTGCTATCTCTCCTGCTCCAGGCCCCAAGGCCCAGGTAACCGGGCAAGAAGAGATACAGTCATAGCTGCTCACCACTGCCCAGATCCACAAAGAAAGCTATTTCCAGAAAGAGGCAGCCAAAGAAGAGCTTTCTCTACGCAGGTCCAGCAGAGGGAGGGAGGAGGCTGAGAGCCCGCCTGGGGGTTCCCTGGCACAGGAAGGACCAGCTGTCTCTTCACTTCCCCTGGTTAGGAGAACGGAGAGAATAAGGGCAATGGGCCCGCACTGGCACTCTCCCCGGGTCTCTGGGGGCAGTGGAAGGGGGCAGCTGGGGCTGCCAGCCTGTCTTTCTGTCTTCTCACATCCCTGCCACTGTCCTCTCTGGCCCACAGGGGCCCAGTGGGGCTCTTTTGGCTGGATGAAGGGTCTTCCTGGTGCCCTGCTGGGAGGGCTTTCTTCAAGCTCCAAAAAAGGCTCCTTAGAAGACACTACCTCCGGAATAGAGAACTCAGTTTATTAAAAGGTGGCAAGTAAATAAATGTGAAATGTAATTCGTGGTTACAAAATACTTATTAATATGCAATTTCATAAAGCGAGGATAGGCAAATAAAAATGTTAATAGGACAATTTTATTATTTTGAAGCCATTCTTAAACTTCCTATTGAAGAGAGGATAATGAGAACAAAGATTAGTATATTCAAGAAATGTCTGCACTCCTATTTTCAGCAGAATTCACCACCACAGGTTGAGATCTTTCCCATGTTTCTTTTCTTAGAAACTCAAGAGTTAAAACTATTCCCAGTCTCACTACTTTAATGCAGGCATCTAACCAGATTTGCAGATATAGGATTGGGAGAGTCATTTATCATACTATTTTAAGCAATGCCAAGAAGGCTCTGCTCATTCAGATGCATGAGTATATTTGAGATTACATGGGCTTACTCTCACTGGAAATCTTCCAGAGTGGATACTGGTTTAAAATAAAATAAAATTTAAGCTTGTGAAAGTATTCCTGTCTCTTTGATGGGAATGAATGCTTTTAACACTAAAAGCTGCTGATTGAATAGCCTATCTCCTATTTATGCTGCATACACTCCTTGTTTACAGTGCAGTTATCATCTGTAGACTTACAAATCCACGATGCCAAGAATTCAGTCATAATGCAACATGCCACAGACGTGGGGCACGTTTCTTCTACTTCATCCATCTGTTCCCCCTCAGCCTCTACTTCATATATTTTATCACAGGATGTTCCTGTATTACTTGTAATTTCCCCAATAGAAAAAAGGAAATACACATGCATACAAAAACCCATTAGCTCTCCAGCAAATATTTAGACAGGAGAAGAGAAGCTGTATTTCCTTTAATCCTCGACCCACTAAAGACCACAGCAGCAGCCTTAGCTTTTTGAAACCACTCATCTGGCAGCAATTTTTCTCAAGCAAATAAGCACCTCAGGCCACGATCCACTATCATGCCCCTGCTGGGCTCCTGCAGCCTGGCTGGTGCTATAAACAGGCCCTTTGCAGAAAGAATGTTTAAAAATATGACCACAGAGTACCTGATAAGGTGATGGCCAGCATTTATTTTCAAACCTAGCTTGTGAGCCACATCTAAAAGTAAAATTTAATTTTTTTTCTTTTCTTTTTTTGGCTCACTCATTACACAAAAAAAGTAAATTTGTGGGAGAGAAGGGCTACTTATTTAGAAGTAGAAATTACAGGCGCAGTCATGGTAGCCTGAGCCTTCTTGCTGGTCTCCCGAGCTGAGCCTGTCCCCACCCCCACCTCTTGCCACTGTCCCTGCCCAGAGGAGTGCGGAGGCAGTGGGCTTTTACCACGTTTGGTTTGTTGCGAATGCTTCCTCTTCGTCTTTTTCAGGTGAAAGACTCCCTGCTAGACTGATTTGTCTATTTCCTCATTTCAAGAGGAAATAAGGCAGCTCAACAAAACTGAAACATTTTTGGTAGCCTAAGTTTGCAGGATAAATTTCTCTTGGCTTCAAGAACCAGTAGCCCTCACTTAATTCCTAAATTAAGGAACTGATGAACCAAGTCACTTCTTACGGTTTTACTTTGAGAGAATCTTATTTTAATGTATTTTGACTATGGTACTTATTAATGTCCATATTTTGAGAATCATTGTTAGTATCTGACATAGTTTCTTACTGGTTTATCAAATGGTTATTTTCTTGAAAATATGTGATTATAAAGACATGCTATATTTTCATATGTGATTTTATTATTAGGAAATAATACTTATATTTTTTAATTCTACTGGAATATACCTTTATATTTTTTTTAGTGTGTGAGTTCACTTAATAATGGAACAGAGAAAATTATTTTCACTTAGAAAATAATCTATAGAAAAATTCTTATAACATTTCCCTACTCAACTGGCTGTTTGGTGTGGTCATCAGCTGTGAAATTAGAAGACCTGGGTTCAAATCCCATCTTTGCCAGAGATTATCTCTATGACTTTAGGTAAGTCATTGAATCTCTCTGGTTTTGTCAGCTGTACCACTGAGATAATAATACCTACTTACCATGAGATTATAGAAACAAGAGAGCTTAGTCCAATACTGCATCCATATATGAAGATTAAACCATAACCAACTGCTAACGTGGCAAAGCAGTGGGGAGTTGACCAAAAAGAGTGTATGTGTGCTCAGCTTGATTTTACAGTCATGTGTTGCTTAAAACATGGATACATTCTGAGAAATGTGTCATTAGGGTCTTTTATCATTCTGGGAACATCAGAGTATACTTAGACAAACCTGATGGCGTGACCGGCTACCCACCTAGGCTATATGGTACAGCCTATTGCTCCCAGGCTACAAACCTGCATAGCATATTACTGTACTGAATACTGTAGGCAACTGTAACATAGCGGTACTTATTTGTGTACCTAAACATAGAAAAGGTAATCTGCTGCACTACATTACCACTGCTACGACATCACTAGGTGACAGGGATTTTTCAGCTCTATTATAATCTTGTGGGACCACCATCATATGTAGTTCATCATTGACTGAAACATCATTATGCAGTGTATGACTATATTTATCAATTTACCATATTTCCTAACTGCTAAAACTTCAGCCATTTTTAAAATACAGTTTGATGTTTTCTTTTACTCATTGAAAACATACGCCAATAAAGATGATTGCTCAGAGACATGCTGGGGAGAACCAGGCTGGGCTATAAAATTTCAGGCCAAAGCAAACCAAGTACCTATTTCCGGTCTGGATAACCAAGACCAGAACATACAATCAATCCTATGAGTGATCTTTTCTTTCCCATCTTCTCTAATTCCAGGATCCTACTCATTTCTCTGGGAAAACAAGAATACCCAAGGGTCACCCATCTCTAGTTACTACTTGGTTTTCAAATAGTAACATAAGTAATAATGTGAAACCACCACCTATCACAGTATTATTTAAAAACATGCCACAGGCCTGAATTTAAAGGGCCACACAGAAAGCAGGGACGGTTTCATGGCATGGGACACCTCAGACTCACCTGAGACTGGGTTTCAGTGTAAGTCTCAGTGAGGGAAAG